CCGACTTCGTCCCTCTAAGTTTGTGCCGGTCCCGACAGGAGTGGCTGGAAGAAGGCGGGGTCCCCGCAGACGCTGCAGCCGCCTGGACTTCGGCCGCCTTCGGCGCCTTCGCTGCAGACAGCGCCGGAGCCACGCCGCACAGATTTGCAGAGCTCCTTGCGGAGCAGACGCCTGGGGGCCTCAATGAGATCCTTGGCAGAGAGCCACACACTTTCTCCTGTTTACGCGGGCATCTAAGAGAAGGAAGAAACCGTCTCCGGCATAGACACACACACACACACACGCACATACAGTGTGTGTGTGTGTGTGCATGATTCAAAACAGATTGTCAGAATACTCGCACGCATGGGCACGGACAAAACCACCTGCACACCTGCACGCGTGCAGACACGCACCCATCAACAAACCCACCCAGGCGTGTAGCATTATTTGGGGTTTAACGATGTTTAACGTGTAGTCCTCAAGTTGTACTAGCATACCAGCAGACAGACATGTGCACATCCATAACCATGGCCGAGTATCCATAAGCATCTGGGATTGATCGAAGCTGCTTTCATTGAGACAACTGCTGGTTGGCTCTAGGACGGCATGATAGGCACATGGAAACCGCCACAGGTTGTTTGACAGATGTATCGGTCCAGGTAGACATGCAAGGTTGTTCGTTCCTTGCACAGGAAGCTGAAAGGTAGGCTTGGTAGTATTCGTTGGCTGAAGGAAAGTCTGGCAGCTTATGGAAGAAGACGGGAACAACGATGCACTGCGTCACGTGCTGGAGGCGGTGCACCACCGCCTCCAACATGGTGCTTTCGATGCCTCCTTGGCGCCCAAAGTGCAGCGGGCGCTCGGCGTTCAGGTTGGGGCACACAAAGGCACACGATAGCATGTTCTGGAAGGGCAAGACATACCAGTCACAGGAACCGTGCCATTCCAAACCCACAACCCGTAAAATGTCATTAGACAGACCTTGCCTGCATTCGGTCAAAGTGTATAAAAGCCCAGAGAGGAGGAGGTGAGCGGAGCATCTTTCATGGCGCTTCTCACGGCGTGGCTCTCCGTCTGGCGGCGGTGGCGACGGCGGCGGTCGGCTCTCTGAGCTCTGCTCCGAAGCGCGGGTTTCTGTACATACCTTGTCTAGGACATTTTCAGGTCGGTAGTTACCGTTATAGGAGCCTTATAGAAGGTCTACATACCTTATAGAAGCCTTATAGAAGCCCTATATACCATAAACTCCCCACCTGTAGTTCCCCTTGACCCGCTGCAAGGAGTTGCAGGTTGAATCAGTTGCAGGGCAAAAGGCGGTCGTCAGCTGAAGCATGCTGAAGCCATCTGGGGCGTCAGTGTCAAGAAGAGACACATCTCACCACTCTGTAGAACGGTTCATCATGGCCGATCATATTGATTGCAGCCATCTTTGGGTTTGAGTCATGAGATGCAACACTTGTGTTGCAGCAGCAGGCGCGCGCCGACTGCCTCTACTCGCATCCAGAAGGCCAGCGGCAGGGGCTATAGCCGGCTTAGCCGCAGCCTGCAAGTTTGGCCGAACTTGCCCGGCTCAACATGTTCCACCCCCATGCCTCACCTCGGAGAAGAGATAGAAGCCTCCAAGAAGCCTGTTCCCGTCATCATGGCCAGGGCGAGTAGCCGTCGGCTTGGAGCCGAAAGTGTGCTTCTTCTGCAGCAGCCCCAGTGCGGTGCAATGCCCGTGGTCAAAGTTTCAGACTTCCGGCTAGGGCCTGGGGGTGCACCTGATGTAGTGCGGGCTATAAATTAAGTAGTAGCAGAGCGCCTCGGAATGCGTTGCGGTTCTGCAAAAGCAAATCTCACCAGTCCGGCCCGAAGCATGGAGCTATCATGGCTTTGTGGTCTTGCTCGTGAGGTCCAGGTCTGTTGCAGAGGTCCTTGTGGGGTTTTGGTGGCGTCTCGTCTTTGCTGCTTGAGGTCTGTGTTGGCAGAAGTGCGATAGCCAGGAAGAGTACCCTGTTTTGCTTCTGCTGGAAACCAGTGTTCCGAATGATGGTAGTAATGTGACGAGTCATCGTGGCAAGCTTAGGCCAGCAATGCCAGACTCTGGACCAAGACGTCGAAGCAAACAGCGATGTGCTTTCAGCGCTCTTGTGACTTCACTTCTCGTTCATCTTGGCAAAGGTGGGCAGGATGGCCACATCGCCACCGAGTGTCCGAGGAATCCGGAAAGCCTCACCTACGACCGGCAGGATCGGCAAAGGGCGAAACACCTTAGATTGAATTCGAGTTGCAATAGGGTTAGAGGAACTCATGGTGGCCGTCCGCGATGAGTTAAGAGTCGGCGAAGAGAAGCTGACAAGACTTGAATGTCTGCCCCAGTTTGGTCTCCGTCCAGCTGCTCTTGCGCCCTTCACAGCAAAGTTTTGTCAGCAGCGATTCCAAACTTTCAGGCTGCCATGCGTGGCCTGGCGTTGCAGAACGTGGGGCGCCTGTCGGAGATGCTTTCCGGAGACAGTTACAGAGTCTGCAGCACCCCCAACAAGTGTACCGCCATGTGCTACCAGGACTCCTTTCAAAGAACTCCGAAGTACTTCCGTGTGCTCTGGGATGTTGGGTTCTGGGATGATATAGGCTCTTCGAGGGTCCAAGGGCGGCAGCGCGGGAAGCTGGGATCTCGGAAGTGAAAGTGTTCTCAACGCAACAAAATGACATAATATATCATATTGAAACAAGATATGAGATTGTGTAGCATAATATCATAGAATATACGCCTCGGCAAAAATGCAATGATTGAAACCCAAGAAGACAATATTCATACACCATCAGTGTATATGTATGTGGATGCATGTGTATATATATATATACACATACCTATGTATATATATATATATGTGTGTGTGTCTGAATATGTGTATATATATATATATACACACGCACACCTGAGTGTGTACACATGTTTGTATGTGTGTGTGTGTGTACACACACATATATATATATAGATATAGATATAGATATAGATCTAGATATATAGATATGTATGTATGTATGTATGTATGTATGTATGTATGTATGTATGCATTCATATGTATATGTATATCCATATATATATATATACATATGTGTGTGTTCGTAAAGAGTATTAATATATAGATTCGGTTACGTGCCCTGCCGCAGCGAGACCCTTGAGGATGGCACGTCAGAGAGAGGGAGAGGCCGTTACAGTAGCAAGCCAGCACGCAAGTTACAGAAGAGTGTAGTGTAGGGTAATTTAGTAGCACGGTATAGTCTAGTATAGTATAGTGCAGTATAGCATGGTATAGTATTTCATGTCATCTCATTGTGAAGAACGGGGTGTTTCAGTACAGCGCCTGATGCCTAACTCTCTAGGGGCAGATCAAAGCCATCACGGCGGGACGCTTGTTCTGATGCCACTGCGAAGGCCCCACCACTTATATCATGTGTCATGTGATCTACTTTCAGCATTGCGGGGGTTGGAGGTCTGAGCATCAGGAAACGATAGCCATCAACGAAGACTTCGCGTGCTTTGCCAGAAGAAGGAGTTCCGGCATGGACTTGCAAGCCATTAAAATCGTTGTTTGGGACCCTTGAACCTGAGTGCTCCGACAGCTGCCCCTGCTGCAGGGACTGCCCCGCAGAGGCGATGTGTTTCGCCGCCGCGGCCCCGGGCAGAGGGCGCGATATTGACGATGGTGACGATGGCGCTGCTGGTGGTGGTGGTGGTGGTGGTGGTGGCCGTGGTGGGTCTGCCGCTGCATTTCCAAATGACCGGGTGACCATTCTTGCAGTGCATGAGGCAATGGGCTTGACATAGACTTCCCCTGGTGAAGAGTACACACTGCTAAGTGCCTAAACTTTCCATGGTCCATGCGTGGGTTGCTTCCAGTTTTCTCATGCCTCGGCCGTGCCAGGGTGGCTCAAACTGTCCGCCAAAAGGATTTGTGTTGCGTATGTGCGATTCACGGGCTAAGCTTTTTGGTTGGGGCTTGATGTCGCGACTGTCAATGCACAGGAAAGACACCAAGACACGGTGTCCCGAAGGAAATTACTTGACCCAATGCCCAAGCAAGATGTTTCACTTTCTATATATGCTACGACCATTAATTGGATTCGAAGTACCGCGAGAGCCTTTTGGCAAGAGAAGCGAAGAGAGCCCCTCAGCTCCACCAGCACCGCGCTGTCAGTATGAAGCACGACTCAATAGCTTGGAATCTAAAAACCGACATGAGAGCCATGAAACACACGGCATCGGTTCGAAGAAGGGCGGCCGTCGCTGCAGTGGCTCTGGTGCTTCTGTTGAGACTGAAGGACGCGGGGGGCAACCGAGAGAAGCCAGGGGTGGTCCTGGGTTCAGGTCGAAGGATGAGCCTAGCTTTTGGCTCCGGTGTTGAGGTTTAGGGATTCCGTTGCGGCCCGTGGCTTCGAACCTTGGAGAACTTGTGTGCAGGACTTCGCCTTTGCCACGACGAAAGGGGCAGCTCCGTTGTCTCTTGTCCATGAGAGTCCATGACATATCTGACGCAGATTTCACACTTGTGCTCAGCATTGGGGCCAGGGGAGCTGGTTTCGGATTTCCGGCCTTCCCCAGACAGTGTCAGATTCGGAGGAAGCATTGAACCACGAAGACATCTGAGATGACGTGTCGCGAATCCCTTTGTCCACGTCTCCGCCTCCTTTCCGAGGCGTGATTTCAGAGTCGGCCAAGAGCTGCGAGGTTCGTGCTTGCAGCCTGCATCGGCGCGTCTGCACTCCCTGCGCCACCCAAAACGAGAGACGTCCAAAACGAGAGAACAGAGTCGCCACATAACTGGACGTGGGCCTATGGGTTCAGGAAATCGTGGGCCAATTCTGCAGCATCTTCCGGGGCAGTGGGTTTGTTGCTTTGGGTCTGCACGCCTGTTTGTTACTGTTACTGTCCGTGCGGTTATGTCGGGAGTAGGCTGAAAGCCGCAGGTGTTGTGTCCTACGTTGCTGACAAAGTGGCGATGGTGGATGTCGGCGCCGAAAAGGAGGGCCTCATACCTCTCTCGATGATAGGAGCTGCGGCTGCTGGCCCTGCGGGCAGCTGCTTTGACTGCGTTCGTGAAGGTGAAGAAGTCGAAGTCTGGGTAAGTCATATTTCCCATCCAGAGGACCTGCGGCGCAGCAAGCTCGTGCTCTCCATGGAGAGAGAGAAACCTTCGAAGCAAACTGGGCCAGTGGCCAATGTCAGCCAATTTCAGTCCATGCTGGGGAAGGTCTGGTACAATGGCACGGTCAGCCGACAGCGACCCTATGGCATCTTCGTGCAGATCAAGGCGCCTGCAGGCGACGGATTCATTGAGGGCCTCGTCCACCGAACGGAGTGCACGAGCAATGAGACCGTGGGTACCCAAGTGCAGGTGCGGGCTGTGCGCTTGGATCCCGAGAAGAACCATCTCTACCTCTCCATGCGGCCTGCCTCTGCCAAAGGCGTCGAAGCCAGGCCGCCTGGCTTCAGGGAGGGGATGGTTTCAAAAGTCGAAGGGATCCTAGTCCTACTACTTGGGCTTGGGGCCACCGCTGCTCAAGCAAGCAACTCCATGAAAAAGACAAGGAGGCAGACCTGCTTAGCCTCCCTTCCATTGAGCTTTTGTTCGCCCAAGAACAACATCAGAGAAGCCTGGAGGCACCCCCCCCCCGTACGCCCTGCCTCGAACAGGCCCCTCCCCCCCCCCCAAACACAGGCAGTCGACCAAAACAGAAAACAGGATGCCCATAGGGTTTTGGGGAATATTATAGTAGACTTACAACAAGGAACCCCCAATATAGTATGGGTAACTTTTTGGGATTACCTTATAGGATTCTAAATATAAACCCCCCAAAAGTTCCGTCCGCCTGGCTTTTTTCCAGGCTCGCCGCCTTCAAGGACCTGGCGAAGGCTCGCCAGGTGCTCCCCGGCACCGTCTTTCGTCAAAGCGGGAAGTTTGGAGCCTTCGTGGAGGCCTCCGACTGCTGGGCTGAGATTTCATATGGGGGCTTCCGAAAAGAAGGGGTACCTTATTTTGGGGGGTCCTTATAATAAGGATCCCACTATTTAGGGTACTAAATTATGGGGTCCCCTCTTTTCGGAAACCCCCAAAAAAAGGGCAGAAGGTTACTCTAAGAGGATAGTGTAAGGGTTGAGGGCTCTTAGCTAAGAAGATGAGTTCGAATAGGGTTACTATGGGGGTCACTACAACCAAGGCCTGGACAAGAGGAGGGGAAGACTTGGACTTGGCTTGCTTTGGGGGTTGTCGCCACATACACTGCAGAAGTTTCACGGTTTATAGGGTCTTCTGCAACTTCGCCAAAGGTTTTGGGCCCTTTTCGCTACTCTTTTGCGAAGGTTGCGCAAGGATGGGCTGAGATTCGGGTGATTAGGGCTCACGGTTTGGGAGTTTGCAGTCTGGCGGCTTGGGGAGTTGTGGCTTAGGCGACTGCGGGGTTGCCGTCGACAAACCCCCCAGGTTTGGGTTTAGGGTTTAGGGGTGAGACCCCAGGGCTTTGTTGTTGGCCTTTCCGGTGCTGCTAGCAGGGTTGACGTTCGCCGAGAGTAAGAATAGATGAGTAGAAAGAATCATCTGGTTTTCGGCCGCCTGGGTCAATGCCTGAGCACTACATAGCAAAATCTAACAATACTGGTGTATGTGATAACCTACCATAACATGAATGCCATAGATAGCCCTGTTGAGGTGCCTGCCTTGAGATGCTTCGCCCGAATTGTCCAAGTTGCTAGAGTCGTAACGGCAAACCCTGACTTCGTTTGACACCCCGTAAACCCCCACCCTGAAAGCCGAAGCCCAGCCCAGAGACTGTGGCAAACCCTTAGAACAACCCTAAACCCTAAACCCCCCAAACCCTAATACCCTAAAAACATGGATCCTCGCCTGGCTTGTCCGAGTTGTGAGAGTGTAATACCCTAAAAACCCTAACTTGTCCTCTTCTTGCGAACTGGCCGACGTTTCTTCAAGCGGCGCAGAGTGAAGGTTTCCCACCCCGACGGCACCAACGTCGTTGGCCTCGTCCCATCTCAGGAGAAGGACCGTTCAGAGTTGTAGTTCTGAGTTTGAGCTCAGACCAATTGCTGGCTCATGCGATTCTTTCAGTCTGGGGCCACCGCTCTCAAAACAGCCCAGGCCTTGAGATCTCTCGGATGTGTAAAGTCCAAGCCCCGAGGCTATGCTAAGCCCATGGACGTTTGGACTTTCAGCCGAAGTGAAGGGCCCGGAGCAGAGGCCACGAGCACGAGCAGTCTTGAAACAGGGCCGCCCAAGCCTATCCTCTGAAATTGATCGTTCCCTAAACCCTAAACCCTAAACCCTAAACCCTAAACCATTCACAGGGCCCTGGCAACGGCTCGCAAGTTCTAGACGCCCAGATCTTGGCCAGGAAGCTGTTCCTCCACGCTCGCTGGAGGACCTACACATTGGCGCCCTGGCAGAGTTCGGGAAAGAGAGTTAGGAGATGAGAGTTTCGGAAAATAGGAGACCCTAATATAGCACACTAAATAGTAGGATTCTTATTATAACGACCCGAAGAAGGAACCCCCAATAGGATGTTCTATCGATGCTCTGGCCGTTTGGGACTCCAGGGCCCGGAAAGAACAGCTGGAACTGTTCCGGCCATGAGCCTTACATTCAGGAAAGAGCCGTTTCCCAGCCAACAGCATACCTGGCCCTTGGGTAGCCAGGCAAGTGCAAAAAGTAGGTAACTAGGAAGACTGATGCTGATACAGGAATTCATCATCACCTTTCCCCATTTATCTTCAAGGAGAGTTTGAGACCTCCCCGAAGCTGTCGCCGAGGTCAGGAGCTGACAGGCCAGAGCCTCAGACGGTCCGGCGGGAGAGAGGTTGAGGGTATATATCATATTATATTATATATCATAGAATATTATATTATATTTGGTATGGTTATATTATGTACACCTCAGGAGCTGAGGCCACCGACAGCTGACAGAGGGACATAGGGTCGGGTTGCAGCGACGGCTTGGCATTTGGGGGATCTTTGGCGCAGAGGAAGCCTCTGCTGGTCAGGATTTTTGACATGACATGGCGCTTTGTGGAGGTGTGGTGATACGGGTGCAGCCTGTGGTGCTCATTGACGTGGGCCTCAAGATCAGAGGCGTGCTGCCAGCTGGGAAGATAAGCTCCCACAATGAAGCGGACGAGGTGCCACTGCCGAGCTTAGTCGCTGCGCTGCGAGGCTGCAAAGGTTCTTGGCACATGCTCGAGCTAAGGATCGCGTGAACCTCGGCGATCGGGTTCAGGTATGGGTCAGCGAGATCCGCTACAAGAGCAACAGGCGGGATCGTCCGACGCTGATCCTGGCGATGGAGAAGAACAAGATCTACAGCCTCTGGAACTCCGGGCCGGTCGCGAACTTGGAGGATTTCCAGGGCCTCGATGACCAGGAATGGTATACAGGCACCCTCACCCACAAGATGCAGGCCAGTTACCCCATAGCTGCTAGTTCTTCACAGCCATGGTCTGTGCATTCAAAGAAGAAGAAGAAGAGTTGAGGAATCCTGAGATGTGGGAGCCGCGGGTTTAGGGAAGGTGCCCCGGAAGTTACATTACAGAGCCAAGATGTTCATTTGGGGGCCGGGGCCACCGTACAAAGGCGAAGCCTAGGGCCTAGGCCGTACTTCCGAAGCCAAATCGCTGTTCAGGCCGGATGGTTCGTGAGTGTTCCCTCCCCTCTGGCAAGTGGGGAGCCGCTGAGCCGCCACGGCTTGGTCTACCTTCCGGTGCCTGAGCAGATCCAGCAAAAGGATTTTGCATTGTGAAGATGCTGTTCGAAGGATTTACATGGTTTGCAGCGTCTTTGTGCCAAGTAGGTGCACGAAAGGTTCTCTAAGGCGTGTGCCTCAACCCCAACGTGGCAGTGCACCCATTCTAACTTGGGTAAAGCTTGGCATTTGGCTCTGACCCTGTTGCCTTCCAAAGCCTAAAACTATAAGCCCTTTGCTACTGCTACTACGTCCCCTTCGAAGGCCGTCAACCATCTGCCTAGCAGTCACACGCTGCAGTCCCCAACCCCACACATCCCTGAGGAGTGCAAGGGTGATGCTGAGATCGGCTCGTCTGTGAAGGCCGGCGTTCGTACTAGATGTACACTTACACCAGTGCACAGCTGCACATCCCTCCAAGCAGGGTGACAAGGTTGGCAAAAGGTGGTGGCCTTCTAGAGATTGCTCGGAAGCCTGGCCCGCAAGCCCTGCTTTGAGCAGGTTCGAGTTCTGGGTGTGGACTTGGAGAGGGGGCATCTCCACCTCTCAATGCGGACCTCCCCGCGCCTGGGGCCGCCATTACGGGACAGAAGCAGCTTCAACTTCAGGTTTCACCATGTTTCACCGGGGCCAAGGGGCGTGTTCGCAGCCTTGGAATTCTGATTGACATTGGCCTTGGTGGTGCGAGCTAGCGTATTGCTTGAGTTTCAGGGCGTGGAGGACCGTCGGACCTGCTTTGAGGCATTGGAGTGAGGGCTGGAGACTTGTACCTGCATTAGTAGCGCGATGGAGAGTCCTCGTATAAGAGCTTCGGTGTTGATGTCTTTGGCTTCAGCTTGCGGGTTTCGGGGGCTAGGGTGCAGGTCTACGGATGTCAGGGTAGAGCATGGGTGGTTTCCATTATTGTTTAGTTCATGTTCGAGCAGCTCATGGGGCTAGCTGCTTTTAGAAGCAGCCGGGATCGCCAACATGCAACTCGAAGCCTTTCCAGGGCCACTGACTCGGTTGGAGGGAACGGGGGTGGTGTCTGTGCTGCTTTGTAGCTGCAAAGCTTTCGCTGTTCGTGTATGTTCGTGTCCCGTCTTGTTGTGATGCAACATTCGCCCTTGTCGTGCTGCTTTTTTAAATCCTCCAGTCGACGGGTATGAAGTGGGCTAGAAGTTCAAAGTGGGGTCACCAAAAGCTTTTCCCGCGAACCGAAGCCATGAATGGAAACAGGAATCCGCACCCACCCAGACAAATGACTCTAACGGCAGGCCGCTGAGGGGAACCGAGGCAAAGTTGGCGCTGATCCTCGGCAAGAGGCTTTCACTTCGGATGACGGGTCCCATCAAGGAATTTGGGCTTCGCTGGATGCATCAGGGGGGCGGGCACGGTGCGGGTTCTCTTGCCTTTCAGCATAGTTGAGGAGCCTCCTGTTGCGGATTTGGCTTTTTGCAGCGAGTTTGCAAGGCTCCCATCGGTTGTTTACATTGTAAACCACCTGAGCAAGTCTTGGGCTTCAACTTTATACGTGACATCTTACCGCAACCTCGTGTTGGAGAGGAAGTGCCCCGTAAACCGCGGCCATGACAGGTGACTCTCGAAACTATGGGTCTCTTCTGTAGAGTGACGCCGGTGGATTCAACGAGGGGATATGGGATAACTTCTACCGTCCATGTCAGCAGCGCGCTCGTTGGCCAAAGCATCCCAAGTTGTGTTTCTCTTGGGTTGAGGCTACACAAAGCTTCCCTCATGCATGCTTTCTCTGTCGCTGTGGTCTGCCTGTCACCCTTGGGCCCAAATCCGATGAACAAGTCTGCATGCTGCAGTCAAGGCATCTTCTTGGATCTAAAGTCGGCTCCAGGGCTATAAACTTCAAGTCTTGAGACTGCAGAGATATTTCTCGTGTGGGTCATGCAGGAATTTGCCCATCAATGCATGGCTCCGGTTTCTGTATCGAGATGGTACTCAGAGTAACCCTTATCTCGAAAGCCTTGACGGGATACGTATTCTGTCTTGTCTCCTAAACCCTAAACCCTACACTCGGAACCTCATTGCCATGCCTGCCT